TCCAAGAACTATCCAAGGATGAGGGCCATTAACAAATTTCCTACTGACCCAATTCTTGTGACTAATAATGTGTCGGAACTCATGCTTATTTACAACATTTCCAGGCTATGTGACATATAACGTGGCAGCCAGCATGGTTCTGCTAAGCATGACGGACGTTATTCTAAACTCCAACTTACACCACAACTCCCTAGCCATTTGGTAATACTGACCTTTCGGTAGTTTTCTTGTCCGTTTTCACAAGGTTCACCGATAAAGCTAGGACCATTTAGCCGGAACTAAGCCTCCGGAGTCAGGCCTTTGGGGATGATTATTCTAAATACCCTGGTTAACAACGACTGACGACGCACTGTCGAAAATCACAATATTAGTCTGAACAATGAATCGGCCGATATAGACAGAGTAGGCGAATTCGCGGTCAAGAAGAATCTTACGATTGAAATTCTGGAGAAGTAAATATATAACCGTAATGCTGGCCCATATCAAAATATCCGTCCAGGCCCAGACGAATACAGGGCATTTTCTATTGTTGTACATTCGGATTTACTAATAACAATGACTGCTGTTAAACGACAATCCAAACACATCATCACGGAAAAATTGCCCAGTCGGGAGATCAGATCCAGGGATTCTGGCAAATAATGAGAAACGCGCGGATTTATTAGGTATTTACAAACACTCTAAAGGCAGTAATACTATTCAGCTGGAGAAAGTGATACTAATTTGCGATTTGACGAAGACATCCTAAGAGTTTGTTTAAATTTTCCGCGTGTTGATTATTACAGCAGCAACAGTTAGGCCGGATTTTAAATGGCCTGCATTTAGCGAAATTCGGTATTCCTAGATTTAAGGAATAAGCTTTTTGGTTAGTAATGCTATAATCAACTATATTCTCGTTAGTTCCAGCAAACTGATCGCCTTCTAGTCTGCATTTTGAATTTTAATGACAAAATTTTTGGGAGTTTCAACCGTTTTCTCGTTTTTAAGGCTCTAGTGTAAGCATCTTTTTAAAATGATGCGAAAAATATTCTGGATCAAAATACTCATTTATAAGGGAAGATGTTACGTTTAATTTGCGGAAAACGACAACGAAATAGACGATAGACCGTAATGAACCGAATTGGCATATATGTTATGAGGAACTTCGTCGTATTTCTCCAGCAATACGACTAAATAACGGCAACTCAGGAAATGTCAGATTGCATAAGCTAGGAAGCCAATTATGTGGCAGACATACATATCTAGATAAATCGCTTTTGACGTATACCTAGTTGACATCTATTGCTACTAGGGCGGTCCTCTCCTAGAACAGCTGTCAGCATTATTTGTAGAAATTGAAGATTATGTGAGTGATTTCAGAAGGTTGTAATCTGATCTCAATCAGTTACACTTATTGCATGGATGGATCTACACTTGAAAATATGCATCCGAGGAGGCAGTATTTAATGGATTTTTAGCTTGATTAAAAAGGATATGGGCATAACAATTGTATATTAATATACTTTGTTAACAATCCTCACCAAGCGATAGTAAAGTCGGATCACGCATTCAAGCAAGATGAAGATGGTTTTTGTGCGTATTTTAGCGCGACCAAATAAGAGTACAGGAAAGTCCAGATTACAAAGAAATGTAAGGATAAAACTGGGAAATTTACATAGGCCTGCAAGGTCTGTCTACATAAATTACCTCCTTCCGTACATCTCGTCCACAAGGTAGCAGTTAATAGCGCGCAGACATTCATCATACAGCCGACATCCGTCAAAAATGATGGCGGTATTGTAACGTGTATCCGACGCAACTTCATTTATGCCTTCCAAAGTGAGATTAGTCCCCGTAGCAAGTTCGACTCACACTTCTTATTCTAGCTTGTTTCAATCTATTATCTCTTTAATGTATATTTTCTTGCCAACGACTGGAATAATTTCTCCTTTGTAGTCTTTCCTTTCTTTCACCACGGATATTTTTTATTCGGCGATTACATTCAACAGAAACAAAATAAATATATGTGATTTTAAACAGTTCTTCTTACTGCATATTTACTCGAAGCTTTGAGTTTCTGCAAGATTTGAAAAACTGATTATTTGCGGTCGTTATCAAGTTTGCCTATCCTTATGAAACGTCACTCACCTACTCGAAAATCTCTAGGCTCACGACAGACGATTTATCCGCTTGACAAACTTCCATTTTCAGTTTAACTGGTCTCTGATGAAAACCGAATAACTCACCGAAACAAACATAATACTGGGTAAGAGACGACAGAGCCCGGAGGTGTCTTGGTACGGAAGTGTTTCGGACTTGTTTGCTTTCTTTCAGCTAATCACAACCCTGACCAATAGTTGAGGCCAGAGGCACAAACATGCGCACGCCCACCTCCCGCAGCTGGTCCACCAGTGGGGTCTACCAGATGGGTCGTAAGCACTTCAGATAATCGAAGTTCATGATTGTCTTGACCCTGCCATTCACTGTCGCGGTTGATCGGGCATTTATTCACTCAGAAAGAGGTGCATGTCGATTCTTTGACTTCCCGAAGCAAACAAGCTCTGGCCTGGCAGGTGGTTGTCTGTACATGACCCATGCCACGTATACGGACTATGTTTGCCTCGAGAAGCCAATGGATTGATGTGCTGAACTCATTAACGAACCCCCGCATATTTTATCTATAACCGAACCACAATGCTATATGGAGTCGGATTTTTTACAGCACAATACGCAGCTGTGTGATTGATAGTGTGGGTTATATTGTTAGCCGCTTAGTCAAAGTGCACGAAGTTCATTTTTAGCTGTAATTACTATCATAAACAGGGAAATTACACGTCAGCTGCTATATGCAAAATATTAAAGCTTATAACAACAGTGAACTATTGGAGGCCAGCAGCCAATGCTATAGCATACTTCCAGCTTGAAAGTTGAGCTGCACGCTTTTAGAACATGTTTGAAATCTTCGATCCTTAATAAGTCAATGAATTTTTACTATCCACAGACGTTTTGGCATCCATTTCCATAGAGGTTTAGTTTTAATCGCAAACATCCCTCGATTTCATAGTCCGTAAAGCTAAGCTGCAACTTTCAGCTTTATCTACACGACTTTTTCTTTTTCGACGTCAGTCTAACAGCTCTCATGGCTCGAATTTTAAGTTCAAGACAATGACGTCAGTATGTCGCTTCACAAATTCTAACTGTGCCGCCTTCTGTTTGGGTCTAACTTTTTATGGTACCTAAAGTTATTTTTACGGACATCAGTGCCAAAGTGATTACCCTTTAAGTGCGTCTGATATTGTTCTTCTGCATTTATGCAATGAATACTCGTCAACGCTAGGAGGCGCTATTTTTTTCAAAATATTTCATGTATATTTCCGAATCTGGAGATTAATAAACACAATAAAACGTACTCGTCACTTTTTTTAGCCCACATGCTCATGCTGGATATATTCTAGCTGCCCAAAGCCTTATAACGCAATTGTTGGGCATGCGACAATGAAATTTATCCTCCAATCAAAGGTGCAACGTGAGCTGAGATAAACTACAGTTAAGGTTTTGCGCTAAAGTTAACTGAATTTCATCGCAAGGAGTGATTTACACCCGTAAGTTAGTTCAGTCCTTCCGGATGAAAATGATACCATTTTATCAAAAAATATGCTAGTCATAAATGTGTTCTGTCCCCGGATATGAACGAATACAGTGCGTGACCGATCTCTTGAAGTGTTAGCCAAAATTCTGGAGTGAGTTTCGGAGTAGGAAGAATTACTTAAGTGAGATTGTTATACTGATTATCATGCAGCATAACCCTATAACATTTCGGACTTGGCAGGATGTCGGTCTTTGAATGCACTTCCTTTTTAGCTCCTGTAGAAACCACACTCGGTAAAAAATAACTACGTAAGTAGCATGCATCTTTCCTGGTGATTTTCGATGGTCTTATAAATTAAAATAGATTTTACAAAAAACATGCACAAAATAGGCTTTCTTTTGCTCATTCGGAAGGAACTCACTATCTTTATATTTTATGTCCGAAAAAGTGTATATTTAGATTTTTAAAGGGTTTCTAATTATGGAATTTTTAAGGCCGTGCGATGTCTATGCATGCAAGACCGCACATGTCCGTTTACTAGAGCTCCTCATGAAATGTACAACAAAGTCCGGATCCATTGCACAGTTTCATGAACTCTATGTGGTATCTCCTTAAAGGCATAGAGGAATATATGATATTTCTTGCGCGAAAGCATGAATCTTGTAGACTGAAATTGCTAAACGCTAAGACAATGGCAGATCAGGCTGAAAATTATTCGGGAATCGGGAGGCTTTTTCTAAAACCAAATATACACTTTCTTCAGACATAAAATATAAAGATAATGTGATTTCCTTCCGAATGAACAAAAGAAAACCTATTTTATGCATGTTGTCTGTAAAATATATGTTAATTTATAAGACCATAGAAAATCAATAGGAGAAATTCATGCTACTTACGAGTGTGGTTTCTGCAGGAGACAACAAAAAGTGCATTTAAAGGCCGACATCCTGCCAAGTCCGAAATGTTATAGAGTTTTTCTGTATGATAATCGGTATAATACTCCCACTCAAGTAATTCTTCCTAATCTGAAACGTATTACAGAATTTTGGCCAAAATATTATGAGATCGGTCACGCACTGTAAAACTGACTGCGTCACATTCAAGTTGAGATTCGCCGACCCGACCGGTCTATGGAACACGGTCTTTCTATTTTGACCTGAAACCCAGGAGTGATCGAGTAGCAGAGTCGAAATTGGTGTGTACAAACCCATGGAGGGTTAAAATAGCCATCTTGGCTTATTTGCGGCCGCTGAACAACAATGTTTCACGTGGAGTTCGAGCCCGGATCTTGGGATTTGTGGGCATTAAGTAAACACTGCTATTAGGCCAGGGTATATGCGTGTGCACACTTTCAAAGCCCAGGGAAATTCACGAACAAGTTGTCGTTCGAGGCAAACATTATCCCCCTCCACTTACTGTTTTCAGAATCAACATGTCCGCCGCGGGACAAGCTTATTCACTTCGGGCGAAAGATCGAGATGAAAGGATAGAAATCCCAGAACACAACTATCGTGAGGGAGGTTTTAAATCCCAATACTTCCGAGGAGGCTGGTATGTTCCATCAGAACGCAGGTGGGAAAAGTATTATGAGCATCACTTTCTTCCGCCGCTGACCCGGAGAGACGCTATCGATTTTTCGCGTGAGAGTGAATACGTCGATTTTAAACGGAAGACGAATAAACATTACGGTAGCATATTCCTTGCAGCTTTTTTGTGACTATCATATCCAGAAAAATCCCTGCTGGGTCATATTCCTCAATCAGTACCCTATGTCAAGTGGAATGGACACAGGCGCATTCCCCAAGAGCCGTGTACCTCCACCTTCGAACCGAAGTGCTTCGGAGAAATTGAATGGGATGGTCCTGGCTACTATGGATACTACCACGAGGTAATCAGTGAATACGCACTTTATGATACAACTTTAAATTGTCGTTAACAGTCCATACTGATGTTAAAGACTGCAAGGTCATTCGGCAGGTCTTGCTCTAAATGAAAAGTAAAAGACTACTGGCGCGTTTGAGGCTAGCTCTTCTGAGTCTGCTCATGACTGTGTCTGAGAAGAAGTACGGAATTTTTTCGCTGCTTATCTTCCTAAGCCGAAACTAGAAGTGGTCGGTTTTGTGCTCTTTTTTGCAGTCTGCATCTGAACGAATGTTGTACTCCTGAATTACTTTATTCCTTACAGCTGGTGTGGTAGCTAAGCATATCACTCTGGTCCTAACTATACACAGGCCAGCTAAAATAAGTAACAATAATAATAAATAAAGTAAATAAATAATAAAATAAATGATGCGACCGCCGTGTTTCTTTACAATATCCTTTTCGTGCGTTGGATTTACTAACAATCTGCTAATTCTTAGCGGCATATCTAAACCATACTTGCAATAAAACACTTTCATTCAAATGCTGGCTCGATTCTCATTACATGCTCTACTGATGACTTTCTAACTCTCAGAGTCTTAGCCATGCCGGGAGATCTACTTTTCACCAAACTCAATTTTAGGCGCTGGATATGTTTAATCGGGAGGAGTGCAGACCGCCTCGGCCAGGATGCTGCCAAAGACGGTGTATTATTGACAGCCGCGTTATTCTGGACTAGAAGACGAAAAGGTACGAAAAGTTGGACAAGAAAGGAGAACGTGAGGGAAAATCGACTACGATTTCTTCTGAGAAGTCTTCTGTTGGAAGACATTAATTCCTTTCTATTCGCTTTCGTTGCTCGCTTGTAACCTTATTCGAGCGAGTCCTCTACCTGTTAAACGTATGTCCGCTTTTCAATCCGATAAAAAGGAATGTACTAACCGAACGTCTTCTGTGATACCAGCCTGCCCGCTAAGCTAGCGAGCACCTCCCGTCAAATATAGACTTTTGAAACCTCTGCCGTATCGAATCAGTGGTGAGATTGAACCCCTGACAGATGAGGAAGTTGACATTATCAGTGGAACTGTAGGCGTTATGCGTGAAGCCGAATTAATTATTAAAATCCTCTTTGACATGATATGCAGGCCTGCAAAAAGCATAACTTTTGTTAGCTAGATGACCTAGAGCAAGTAAATCTTCTATACTAATTGTTAAGTTCCGAAGAATTCCGTTTGATTAAACTTGAGATAATACCCCTCGATGAATTTTTAACAACAGGGAACGTTTTGATTTAATGTGCTAAAGGGCGTTTGCCCATTGGACTACGGGACATGCCCCTCCCGTTGCCCTTTGGAGTTCAGTCTAAAGTTCTTGAAGGCAGTAGCATAACAATCAACATTGATTTAGGAAGGGATACCAACAAGGCAAAGGAAACTGGGATAGTCATTTCTGACTAATTAGCCATTGTCGGTTGGCTTTACCTAGCCTCAGGTCTCAGGGAACCTGGGACTCGAACCCGTGTTCTTTGGTTACTGAGCGTTTATAAGTCCGACGCTACGCCATTGAGTTAAAGGCTCTCTGTCTTTTTGGCCACGATCAAGAATACTGACTAGCGCTTAGAGGGGACATTCACCGACCGGGTTTATGGAAATGTTCGCCCAGTTGCACCAGAAACCTTCATTCTATTGTTTGTCAGTATTCCTTCCAGCGCTTAATGGCTCATTCTCATATAATTGGTGCTAACCACTTGGGAATGCAGGTCTCCTATTTTAGGAGACTGGACTGTGTATCTTCTGCAATGCTGTCCTTTTTAACTCATCCGGATTTAAGCAATATTTCCCCCTGTATGAATTTGAAACAAGCATACACAGCAGAAATTATTGGAACCAAAAAATTTTGCTACGGCTTACCAACTGCAACCTATCGGATTTAATTTAGCTCTAGTCCTCCTTCGATCGTCTCATTCTTCACCAGGCCTAATTTGCAACCTAAACTGCTCTGCCTATTTTCGACCAATGCATTTGGCTACCGCCTTCCGGCGACTCGGTATTGGCGGATTTCGTCTTTTCGTAGAGCATATCTAAAATATTTGCCGAGTATTTTCATTAATCTTCATGACTAAGTACATTTTCTACGATAAAAATGGTTTGATCATTTTTAAATATTAATATATATGTAAATACAGCAAATAATATTAAAGCATCTTAGGATGATATTTTCAAACTAGGCAATTATAAGTGTTTTCAGACGGGTCTCAGGCATTTGTAGACTTCAGCTATTCGCGGATAACTATGGTTTCTGACCCCCTGCGAATAGCGGGGTCGACTGTACTAGTTCCGCGCTTAAGTCTCTGCAGCGACAGTCGGCACAGTTAAGTGATCTCTGACAGACATCCTATCGTAAATAGTAGAAAATCTTAGACGCAGATCAATGTATCATTTTAATCGTTTTTATCAATTTCTTTTTAGTATTTGCATTTAGGCGATCGCGGATGAAAGTGAAAAATTTAGTCAACGTTCAATTGTCCGGTCAACTAAACGTAAATAAGAGGCTCACCCAATACCATGGTTGTTGAAGGGACTATATTCATTCATTCAGTGGTTACTGACAAACATATAGTAACGAATACATACAGAATTAGATGAAAGGCTGACGTGTGCTAACGAGATACTCACCCTACTACTATGAATAAAAGTAGGCTTACTGTTTTCTAATTTTTACCAAGTCTGCGTATGATGATTACTTGCAGTTTTCGTTTAATTATAGGGAATTTTAACTGCGGTATAGAGCTCAGAAGCAGCTCGTATTTGTTTTCTGATGCTTTAACATCCCCGTTTTTTCGGATTCAGCGGTAACTTTCCTTACCCTGTTTTGGTGTCTAGTCCGAGAATTTTCTGCATGATTCACGGATTAAACACCTACGAAATTTTTTTCATGTATTTTCAAATGTCTCGTCTACAAAACGATCTGTGAGTACATGAATTAGTGGTTTGCTTTGGCAAAATTTTAATCATTACTTGCCGTTTATCATTAGAAAACTCAAACAGAATATTTGTGTTACTAAATTATAATCCTTATTTTGTTTGAAAAACCTGCTGCCGTCTAGGAAAAAAAACACTCCAGAACAAACACACAAGACTGGACACTGAACATTCGTTCGCTGCCAACAACTAAACTACTCTTCCGACAGTTCAAACATCACAAAACTCAAGAGCCGCAAGCAGACACATAGATGTCTATACTAGAGTGTATGAGTCTTGTGGCACGCTTATTTGTACGGCATGCAAGGGAGATCGTACAGAATGCTGTGCGAATTCATGCAGATAGATAAAAACAACTTCATTGTCGAAATAACAGTTAAAAAATCGATAACCTGCCTATTTCGTCTTATCAGGGTGAATCCGTTAATATACCTGACAAATCTCCCAATAGCAGTGAAGATTTCAAAGCCACTTTGTTAGTAAGATGATTGTTGTAGAGCAGCAAAACGTCAGCCTAAACTGCTGGATGTCGTAGTAGATAACCGTTTGCGTTTGAGCTGTGTTTTTCTTCGCTTCCTATGCTAGGAGGTCAGGATCCCTAGAGCGGCAATCTTTTCTCCAGGCCGCTTTTTATTATTACTTCCTTGCTACGCCTGAGCTGGCGCCAATGCAAGGGCAATTAAATTTTCAGTGGGTTACCACTTATCCACAGGAGCCGCTACCACGAGAAACGGTGGGCGTGCGTTGCGGCATGCCATGTTGTCAACTGTTCGCTCATGCGGGCAAGACGGGAGAAGGCTGGTGGCCAGAAGTTAAGGTAGATTAGACCAACTAACGACTGTATGAAGGTGTCCTTAAAACTGAAGTTCCTTCACCAATCTGTCGGCAGTTCGTTTCAGTCGTCGTTATGTAGCTAAGCAGGGGTGGGAAACGTTACAACCTTAAGTTCAGATTCAAATGTACGACAATGCTGACAATGACGTTAATAATGATGGCGGTATGAACGATGATGACGACAATTAATAAGGGTTATTGCTTGCATTCGCATGGCGAGGTTTTATCATCAAAAACATCTGTTAAAACCAATAGATTAACATTTTTCATAGCCTACTTGATTACAGCAATCAAATCTCGACACTTTATTGTTCCAGTAAATACTGCGAGATAGGTAGATGACAGAGAATTTGATGTGTCTACTAAACCTTTGAGGCCAAATTTCAGATGAACATGCAAGGTGGAGTAGGTCATAGGTATCGTGAAAAGTACTGTGAAGCTTCTAGTTGAGCATACGCTGCCAACCCCTTATTTTCGTGATTTCATGGGCAACTGAGCACTGAGGATATTAACTTACAAGTATTTCAGATTATTTCTTACACTAAGCCACAAACAGGACATTAGTCGGAGACGCCCAAAGTCTTTCAAATAAGTTCAGTTTCAGAAAATTCTGGAGTTGGAAAGACTACTAGCCTAAGGTTTGGCAGGGTTTTAATCAGCCCTTCGGTCGTCGTACTCCCACGACAACAGACAGAAGAACTAGGTTTAGATCCGGGTGCAGTTACTCATTGAGCCAGACGCTGTACGGGTTGGTTGCGGGCTCCCGTTCAGTTGACCGAAACAGAGAATAATCGAAGTCGCGTGAACGCAGCTGTCATTAGGTCGTCGTAATCTAGTGTCGGGATATGTCCGACTGATTACAGCAAACAAGCCAAATCGAAGTCTGGCAGGCGTTATCGGGAATGCGCAACTAAAACAAATGCCAAAACCGAAATGGGGTGGCACGCCCATGTTCAGACTCGTGCCGCGCCCATTGGGATCCGTGCCACCCCCCTATTTTTTGTTATGTTACAAAATCCTAGTCAGTGTCGGTTGTGGGGTGAGGTGGTATGCCTGGGTGCGGGTTTTCTCCGTGCCAGCCACCTGATATCTCTCCCACCTCCGATTTTCTTGACTCTGTCTTGACACCGGATCTAGGTGTGGAGAAGAGAGTGCGGTATATGCAGCGCAAGTCCATCATCACTATAAACCAATTCACGCGCAAGTCGCTGTCCCTGTTCTCGCCCTGTTGTGGAGTACACGGTCAACATTGTCGGTCACGACAGTCGAATGCTACGTTGGGTTCGCCAGAATCTCGAAGTGAGTCAGGGCGCTGTTTAGAAACCGAACAGTACAGCAACTCAATTCTACGGGTTGATAACGTCCTGTGAAAGTGCTATCTGCGGACTTCGCGCCAATACAGACCATGTGAAAATCTACTAGAAGATTCATATGCTGGAGAAGGGAGTTGTGGACTGTATGCATGCAACACTGTGTTAATTGGCTGGTATGTTTGAATAAGGCACTCAGGCGACTGTCTCAGCAGTCAGCCAATCAGCCACAGGCAAAAGCATGCGATTTATGCATGAATAAAATACTCCTAAATATACTCCTGCCTTTGTGATAGGATCTGCATGCGTAGGGGACCCGATTAGGCGCTGGCGCGCTCAGCAGAAGTAGCGGAGGGAGTCACGGGCAGGATGGCCAGCGGGCGGACAAACAACAAGGGCTAAAGCAGCCAGATGGGGGGAGTTAAGTCGCAGGAAGCGGTTGGAGACTGAAAAGCGGAAAGTGGCGGGGATGGTGAACATGAGATAAAACTGTTAAAACGTGAAGGGAGCTGCAGGTAGAACTGAAAAAATGAGGATGCTGATGAAAACTAGGATACGACAGAAAAAAAGACATGTAACGCATGGGGAGGAAAGGTTGCTTATTTACAAGCTAC